CAGTGCTAATTTGCATGTGATTGTTCATGCAACCATAGTGATCCCGGAACTGGAAAGGCGTCTCATACAAAAAATATTGTTTTCGTTCTTTGTTTGTGCCCTTTGTCTTAGTACAGATTGCACACACTGCGGTAAAGCCATCGTTCCGAATAATGATTTGATCAACAAATAACAGGAAGTAGGCAAAATCTCATCTTCCCTAAAGATTGTATGTTGCTCACTCATTTTGGAGTCTGGTAATGATAAATCTCCAGGAAGTGCTTTCTGGCCTTTGAGAATTTGCCGGTTTCACTTGCTAGGCAAAGCCGCCACCGAGACTTCGAAATACGTTCAGATTTTTTGGACACTGCACTCATTGGTTTGGTGCTCTTAGCCTGGTAATATTTCCTACACTTCTGTATTAGTTTTGCAAACATTTTGTTTGATGTTGATCCCGGACTAGTGCATTTTCCGCCTAAGGAATAAAGAATTCAAGGAAAACATCTGTCACATCTAGATGCTCGCCGTCTGACCTGGGTGACTGCATGCTGCTATGCTGCTTGATGGGCGTTCTAACAAGAGACAAGAAGAAAGAAATTGTTCTGGGGTCAGTTAGTTCCTTGAACGCCGGTTCACTAGTTTGAGAAAACACAGGAGGTCTACGGTGTCGAACATTGATGCATCAAACGGGAAGTTTAACCGATCGGTAGGTACGCTGGCTCAAATTTCTGTTGTTATTGGAGAACTAGTCACCATGAAGTTTTCAAAATCAATAAATCTGTGATACATTGCCCTGAATTTCACACCGACAGGGTACTATGATTAGCTTTGATGATCTGTGTCGTAATATACACTGTGATTTATCGTACAAGTTAACTGAACAAATGCCTCAAAAGCTAATCTGAGTTTGCCCGATGGGACGTGCATTTGAAACTTCTGGGTACAATATCGTACAACATAACTCCTAGGTGATCCGCTGTGTGTTTCATAAGGACGATGTAAGTTGAAGGATCCAACCGACCCAAGTGGATTTTGTACTAAAGTTTTTCCGGACTTTCTAACTTAGAATCTGGAGTTTCCTTGTTGCGGGCAGCTTTTTGCTGAAACCAAGCCCACACGAACTGCAGCATTGCATTGCAGTATTGATGAGAATCATGTTCACACGCAGATTCGAGCATCTTCCTGTTTCTTTGTTTTATTCGAATGCTTAACTTAAGCACCTAATTAAGAATGAATTTCCGTGAGACTCTAAATTCGAATTACCGACGTTTTAACCCGGCCAAATTATGTGTCGGCCGGTCTTTCCTCTCGAAAGTCTTCGGAGTCAAATGGTGCTTTGCAGACCGGAAAATGACCGTTCAAGTTCATATCCCCGCTACCGCGACCGGACTTGATATAGCACACTCCGACAGCGTACGCAGTCGCCACCGCCATTCAACTAATATCACAGTTGCATAACGACAATTGATCGTTTAACTTCGAACTAGGCATTTAATTGCACATTCTGACCTCTGGTGAAAATACCTGCTGGTATGTATTTACGAGTAATCCACCAACGATTTGTTGGAGATGGCAGTTAATGGCTAAACAACGGCTTGGTAAACCTGCTAATCGATGGGCATGTTTTAATTTTGGTCACTTGAAAATCAATGTATTCATTTTTATTACAAACAGCATCCCCGACAAACGGGTTTCAAAGAAATTCCGGCACTGTTTGCCGTTAATGATTTTTGCGTTGATGTCTCTGGAGTGACTCAAGATGTGAATATGTCTTGTCACAAATAACACACACGAAAGGCCGCTGTTTTGTGTGAACAACGGAGTGGCGCTCCAAGCTACGAGTGCTTTCAAACCAACGTTTACAAAGAGCACATTCGTGCTTCATTACTTTTTCCATCGGTACTTTGTAGTGATGTAGGGATTTGTGTTTCTGTAGAGCTGCACGGTTTGGAAACCCCTCAGAACATGTTGAACACACGCGGTTCCTTTCGCGCGAATGGCATTTCATATGGCGTCTCAAATCAGTCGGATCTCTGAACGCTTTTCCATATTCATCACAACGTACCTTTGTCGGAATGAGGCTCTCGGGCGCGTGATCATATCTTTGATGCCGTTGTAGACTAGAAAGATGCTTGAATACCTTAGCACAGAGCTCACACATAAATGATGCCGAAATGTCGTGAGTGGATGCATGCGTTTTCAAGTTCCAGAATGTCGAATACTTCCTTCCACATGTTACGCAAACATGCCCTGTGTTTTGCGTTTTTCTGCCGGTTTGTTTTCGTGACTCAGGCTGCACCGCGTCACCTTGATTCATAAGTGAAACGTTCGTCTCCTTGGATTCCGGTGTTGTCGGCCTGGTTTCCATAGGGAGATCTTTTGGTGCGTCGAATGGAGAGCCCTCACCATCTACAGTTAGAGCAACACAGTAAAATCCAGATCGGCAA